GAGCTTTAAAAAAATCTTATAGATTTTTAAAATAGGGCCTTGAGTGTGATTATTTCTATTCTTAATAAGCATTTCAAACGCTGTGAACTCCCTCCCCGGGTGATTTGGAAATATTTAAGTTGGTAAAAGAGTCTGGGACTTTTCAGTTTGGAAAAGAGACGGTTAAGGGGTGTGTGTGTGATGGAGGTTTGTCAAACTATGCATAGGGTGGAGAGAGCTGACAAAGAGGAAAAAAAATTCCCCTCCCCCAAAAGATTAGAACTTGAGAGCAGTAGGTTCAGGACAGACAAAAGGAAATAGGACTTTGCACAGAGAGTGATTAAAATGTGGAATTCGCTGACGGAGGATGTCGTGAGGGCCACAGGAAGAAACAGCCTTCAAAGTGGATTAGATAGATTCGTGGAGGATAAGTCTATCAATGGCTACTGGCCATGGCAACTGAAGGGAGCCTCCACATCCAGAGGCACTAATCCTCTCAATCCCAGTGCCAGGAGGCAACAGCAGGGGAAGGCCTCGGCCTCTCTGCCCTGTTGGCGGCCGTCGAGAGGAACTGATCGGCCACTGTATGAGACGGGATGCTGGACTAGATGGATTATTGGTCTGATCCATCAGGGCTCTTCTGATGTTCTTACACAGCTTGTCTTTACCCTCAATGGATGGGCCCCCAAAACCAGAACAAAGAAGGGAGGTGGGACTTAATGCCTGGGGTCACATCTGTTCTGTAGACCCCCTAAAGGTGTACTGATGCCTTGAGAGTAGGAGAGCATTGTTCCATGGGACAGACTGATTTGGTCCCCGAACACACTTAAACTCACATGGTTTGATTCTTTCTAGATCCAGTTTGAAGCCAAGCACTCAATGGAAGTTCTGGATGACAGGACGGTGGACGGATTTCAGCTTTTGCTCATCACTCGCAAGTCTCTGATTCATGCGTTTGATCACGTGTTCCAGTAAGATTCTGGTTTGGGTTCCTGCATTATTGGGACAGGGAAATTTTGGGCCTTTCTGACATCTTGACTGCTTCCGATAGTAACCTTGGAAAACTTAGCTCCAGTTAGAACAATTATATAAATATGACGTTTGAAACATCTGGACACAACGTCGTATTTATATAATTGTTCTCCATTGTTCATACTTTGTACTTTTCTGTTGTTATGTGTTGATGGACAAGTTGTCTGTGGTTTGCATTTTGTACTTCTCTACTGTTACCACTTTGTATACACGACTTTCTATTACATGTTCTTTAGCCTTTTGGCAATTTGTTATTAGTGTGTCTGTTAATTACACTGGTTCCT